ATAATCACAAAGCATAGAATTGGAAGTCATAAATGGAACAAAGAAGCAAGATCAAGATGATTTCTCTTGTAGAGTTTGCACATTTTTTCCTACAACTTGACCTCGGCACAATCCTAGAAAGCGTTGTGACTTTTCACCCTAACATCTGCTTCAATACTGCAGTGACCCCCCCCCCGATAGTGGGGTAACATAACGACAAATGTACAAGTAAACAATCTGCGATGATGGAGGTCTCAGAAATTTAGTCGTATGAAGGTTATTAAATAAAGCCAAATGCATTGATGCTTGCGAGTTATTTAGCGAGGTTGCCCAGTAGTCTTTATATTCATCTTTCTTCTCTCTGTAACTTTAAGAGCGAAAATCGAGTCATGAATCGAACACGTGCGCTTTCAGCAAGAGTAAACACGGCTACTAATTGCCCGCGGCATGAAGGGACATTGTACTTGTTCAAACTGTGGGACGTTGAACGGTCATGTTGACTTTTGTTGGCCTCCACCAGGCTAACCAAACGGTAAATCCCGGGTTATGGGGTTGGGAGGGGGGGGGCAGTGACGGGGTAAAAGTATTGAAAAAGGTGCAGAGAACAAATTTAACAGTGAACTGAAAATAAAATGGTTTCAGTCATCAGATGGATACCAGATTTTATCCAGGAGATGTTAAAAACAAACTTTAATTTCTTGTTCTCGATTCTCCTACAGGTATTTTAACTCTAGATGCGCCGTAAAGACCTCTCAAATTTTTCTTGTTGAAGTCTACTAACTTATCAGAGAAATATCCCCCTTTCCCGAGTTTGATTTGTTAAGAACAAGGGCTTCATAACGGCATAAGTGTTTACTTGAACCTTGTTCGTTACGTAACCCTACTATCTGGGGTCGCGCTGCACGTTGAACAAGTCAAGCAGATGTAAGGATGGAAAGTCACAATGCTCCCAGGGATTGATTTCACGGGTTCTGGCAAAAAAATCTTCATCTCGCTGCTTAACTTTATGACATTCAATATTTTGCTTAGTTCAAACTTGTGAAAAGTCTAGCTAAAAGAGTCTCACCTAAAATATTGTGTTGTTTCAGTGTGTTCATTCAGTCTCCTTTGTTTATATCACGAGAGGAACAAAGGTCTATGGTAAAGTTTGACCCCTCAAGGTCATACACATAGAAGTATATATATAACACGGGCTTAATACTTCTTGTTGGACGACCTCTCAAGGCCACACGCGAAAAGGCTATGGCGCACGCGCACAAATGTCGTTTGCATTCTTTACAAACATGGCCACAATCGTCGGCTGGATAACTGAGTCCGTCTGGGAGATTTTGCAGATCTCTGGGCTGACTCTGCAGTCTTTTCTCGTCTTCTGTACGGCCTTTACCCTGGCATGTTTTCTCTTGAAGCCCCGCAGAAACCTTCCTCCGTACCCGGCAGGACGTGTGCCTATTCTCGGGCACCTCCTCGCCTTGGGCCGAGCGCCTCACCTCAAGCTGACGGCGTGGAGGCGGCAGTACGGGGACGTTTTCACCGTCAGGATGGGGATGGAAGATGTGGTGGTTCTGAACGGCTACGCTGCCGTCAAGGACGCGCTCGTGGACAGGTCCGAGCTGTTCGCCTCCAGGCCCCCAATGTACCTGTTTGATGCTATGCTTGGTTTCGGAAAAGGTAAACTTCTATTGTTTCTACTGTTGTTTTTTTGCCACCAAAGTTGAGCCATACACTAGAACGGTCATTGATACTTCTCCAATAGTCTTGTCTGCAAAATATGTCCTTCTGGTCTAGTGACCTACCTACTGCATGTATATACAAGATGCGATATGAATCTTATTGAATCACATGTTGAAAACATTTGTTTCTGCAGACATAGCTTCTGTCAGCTGGGGGACCGAGTTCAGACAGAGAAAGAGGTTCGCCACCGCCCTCCTGAAGAACCTGGGTATGAAAGTCGGAACTGGCAGCATTGAGGAGAAAATCCGAGAGGAGGCGAGCTGTCTCCGCAACAGGGTAAGGTACAACGTATTAAATATTTAGTGCCAGGTTATCTGTGCGATAGCATTGCAAGCATTATCATTAGCATTATGTTGATAGGTTTTATTATAAAACTTTTTGTTCACTTTTGAACATTGTTTCTTGTATTCTGCAATACGTGATGAAATTTGTACCCGTATGAGAAATCATTTTGATAATTACTCCTCTGAAAATGGGATGCGGTCTGTGATAGGTAGGATCATAATACTATTGACGAATTAACTGAGACCGCTTCTATCCGGACATTTTGATGAAAACCGAATTCTATTTAGATTGCAGAATACGGTGGAGAGCCCTTTGACATTGCTCATGACATCACTGTGGCGGTTGCAAACGTCATCTGTGCTATGCTAATGGGGAAGCGGTACGACTACCAGGACGAGACGTTCCGGGAGCTGGCAGAGGCGGTCGTCACGGCCACGGCTGAAGCTGGGGCTGGGCAGATCATCGGTGTCTTCCCCTTTCTACGGTTTGTTCCCGTAGGTAGGTATAACACTGGGATATTTCATTCATTTATTTAATCTCAAGACGGCTGGTCTGTACAGTTTTCTATCGCTGTTTTCCGAGGGGACCCAGCATATTACAAGACATCGCATCGTTACATTCAGTCAAACAAAGCAGAACAATCTACAATACACGTAAAAACACAAGGTCGAATGCGTCAAAATATAGCCATAGTCCTAAAATCAAAGTCCTAGCCATACCATGGTCAAAACAGAGAGGTCAGAATTTGGATTGGAAGTCAGAGTCCATTAAACTTGATTGTAACCAGTCAAAACATTTACTTCAATGATAACGTAAATATCTTCTGTCGGATTGGAAGGTTATATGTATGAGGGGCTATTTGTTGAGCTATTTTGTCACCACCAAATTTTCAGTTTTTATTTGTGTAACCGTGCGTTGTGTAACTTTTGTGTCACCCTCTGGTATTTTACAGTGAATAGATCAGGCACCAAGGCGTTGGAAGAGGTCTGCAAAGTCCAAAATGCGTTAAAAGAGGAGATATCTCGTCATCGCGAGAACCTGGATCGCGAGAACACGCGAGATTTCATCGACTTCTGCCTGCTGGAGGTTGAGAAGCAGGAGAAGGTGGAGGGTCTGACGGAGGAGAACATCATGTATGTGGGTCAAGACCTCTTCTTTGGGGGAATAGAGACAACCGCCAACACGCTGATGTGGAGTCTGCTCTACCTTACTTTGAACCCGGACATCCAGAAAAAGGTACTTGTCAGTACATTTACCTTATGTCAGACCAAGAGCCTGGCAGAGATCACATAAAATCTATCCTTAAAACTGCATATATTTTCCTATGCAATCCCTATTGGCTGCAAAATATTTTTGTGACTTCTACATGTACTCTAGGATACCTTAATAGGTCTCTCATGTGGATTCTAATAAACTCACAGTTCAATACAATGTACCTGTTTAAAAAGTGCAGCAGGAGCTTGATGCCGTTGTTGGTGAGAGTCTGCCCACCCTGTCCCACCGTTCCCAGCTGCCCTACGTGAACGCCTGTCTGCTGGAGGTCATGAGGCTCCGGCCCATCATACCCCTCGCGGTTCCCCATGCCACTTCTGAGATGGTCGAAGTTCAGGGGTACAACATCCCCAAGGGAACCCAGGTATCTCTACCTATCGTAATGTCAAACATTCTTTTTCCAACGTTTCATTCAAGAACTACAGTTCCGTTATCTCCGAGTTTCGCCAAATGATTTTAACCCCCAGGATTGCCAGTCATATCTCAAGAAAGCAGACCATTAAAGCATTTCCTCATAAATTATGTAAATAAGGTCCAAATTTGAATAAGCTATGTTTAATGGTGTTTACCTTTAACTAACTTCCAAATATGAAATTCCCGGCAGTCACAACTATAGAGTTATAGCATTTTTATTAATTATGCAAATCTGGTCTTCATTTACATGATTGATATCTGCGAATGTTTCTCTCATTCTTAATCTCATGTGTCACTATCTTAAATAGTTCTAGCATCACAGATTTATAGAATTTCTTCATTGTCTTCGTCAGAAGGACTATGAAATTGTCTCGCCGGAGTGTGGGGAACTGCGGATTTTGCGTTATAACTCTGGAAGGCATAATTCGACGTCCATGATTTTTGGCAGGCAGATTACCGCTGTTGAGGCCGAAGTGAAGTACAAGTTTCAGCTTCGTGGGGGGTCCGTGCGTCACGTTAGTGCACCTTTTGTGTCTGTGGCTTGTTAGCAAGATAACTCAAGTATTTGTAAAATGTTGATTATAATTCTTGGTGTGGTGCTTACTATTGTCGGGACCAAGGTTAAGTTCGTTACTGAGCTTCGTGGGGCGTTTCGTTGTGACTACAGGGGTCATTTTGTTAATTTTTCTTGTGAGCAGGATAACTTTTGTATGTGTGGATGGAAGTTAATGAAATTTGATAGGCATGTTACTGTGGTGGTCTCCAAGATTGAGTTCAAAGATGAGAGTCGTGGAGGTCGTTATGTCCCCGTAATAGGACCTTTTGTGTTTAGAAATCCCCCACCTACATCTGCTTGGAGACAGCCGACAGCTGGATATAGCCGGGGAACCCCATAATGGGATGGGATCAAATGACGTTACATTGAGGGATTGTACTATAACTTCAGCAGGGGGAGGATAGGTTGGACATATGTCAGGTTATTTTCTACGGCCACACCAAGTAATTGCTATGGATGACGTCCACTGGAGACCTTAAATCTAATTACCTTAAATTTAAGGCAAGCGCGCAATAAAAACACGAAGGGCCGAAAAATGAGATGCCTAGATTTGGAATATACTAACTGTAGAAGTACATAATCTGCGGCAAACCGTTTTAGGGTGTTCTGTACCATAAAAATAGTACAGAGATTCTTTTGTTCTTTAGACCAAATTGATTATTAAAAAGAGTGAAGAATACGCATGTTAATTTCTCTAGAACGATGTACCTCTGACGAAGACATGAGATCTCCGACCTCTAGTTCATTATGAGAATTAGATACTGATTTTGCAAAAACTGCCATCTAATTATGTCAATCATCATTTGAGCTACCTACGTATGGATAGAGAATTAACTTAAATTTTCTTAAAATTTTATGTCTGCAATGAGTGTATATTTTTTTTTTATCCAGATACTACCGAACCTGTACTCCCTCCACATGGACCCCGCCTACTGGCCTGATCCGGACCGGTTTGACCCCGGAAGGTTTCTGGACTCGGAAGGAAACGTCATTAACAAGCCTGAGTCCTTCATGCCTTTTTCAGGAGGTAGTTATAAGTCTCATACTATGTTATTATTGTGGATGCAGTAATGATTACACACTTTTATCATATAGCCGGGTGACGTTGACCAATCAGAAGGCTCCATTCCACTTATGTTCCAATGACCTCAGGTGACTCCTATAGGAACACCTGTTCCCTGCCAATGATCCAAATAGAACACACCCTCCCCAGTGACCTCAGGTGACTCCATATGGAACTATTTAAGTTTGTATGTGTTATACAGGAATGTGTCACTCTTTACTGTGTAAGTTTTGATAGGCTACTATGATATGATAATAGCGTTAATGGCCCGCCCTTTCTCGGTGAATGGTGTGATAAAGCCTTGTCAGTTGCTATAACCACCGAATAATACGACGTAGGCCGGTCTTACAACTCAGCATTCGACTTCGTATGGTGTTACAACTCGTTGTTTTTTTCCAGGCCGAGGCGTCTGTCTTGGGGAACAGCTGGCCAGGATGGAGATTTTCCTGTTCTTCTCCACCCTGCTGCAGTCCTTCAGCTTCAAGACGCCAGAGGGCGCTCCTCCTCCAACCACTGACGGCGTTCTTGGACTGACACTGAGACCTCATCTGTCTAAGCTGTGTGCCATGCCGCGTTAGCTTCTTTTTGGCTAGATGTGCAATAAATTACTTATCTGATGTGTTACTGGATTATATGATGACTATGTTGCTAATAACAAGCAAATCGGATTCTAGTTGCAGCCATGTATAGTATGTTACTATGTGTAAAGGAAAGATGAGGTGATAGGAAAGGAAAAAGTATGACTACATGAAACATACTAGTATCCATACCATGTTACTTTCCAAACAGTTTTACAGGTTTCTATTGCACACTTAGTCTAATGGTTGTTAGCTTCACCATTTGTTTATCCTGTTGAGCTTTGTTTATTAATTAGTTTGCTCAGAACATTTGCATTTTCTTTGATTTAAAAACTGGTAAAATTTTGACTTGAACTTTGAACTTTATTCACCTTAATACCACCTTTATACCGATGGCACTAACGGCAATAAAACAAGTGACAGGTAAAGTAAAACCCGACAGATTGTATCGAAGCGTATAGCGAAATTATCTTAAGTAACATTTCATTACAGTAACCATATATCAATGTTTTGTAATGGCTGGCCTTTGACCTGTTGAACGAAGTTAGATTTTAGAAGTAGTACGAGTTCCTTGCAAAAAAATATTCTCTAGTTGTTGTCAGATTCAATCCATAGTAATTTAGTTAACGTTGAGCATAAAATGCTCCAAGACGTCAAAACGCACTGAAAAACAAGCTGTTTGACATCAACAGGATCATTCCGATGCCTTCCTGTCCTATACAAATGAGGTTTAGACCCGTTTTCGCGATGCATTCTGGGGATGGAAAACTTGGGAAGCGAGTTTGTCACCAAAATATCACTCAGGACTTGGCGCATAGACTACTCAGCTCGACTTGTCCGACAAGTAGTCTACTTTAGTCCGGACAAGAAATCACCCTACAGGTTAGTTTGTTTTTGCTACTTGTCATGGTTTAAAAACTTAAACGTTAGGATTACAAATTAGGACCCAGTCATTAATGTCTTATGAACGCCTTTCAAAAACATTAGGTATCTGTATGTGTATCTGTATAGCCGGTATAACCACCCTTCAATTCGAGTAACACTGTGACACCAGCTGCTGTACCTGTATAGCCGGTATAACCATCCTTCGGCGTAACACACCAGCGGAGTGCAGGGTAGTGGAGTCCAACCAGAACCTTCTATATGACAAATACTTTACAGGTTACAACATGCTTGCGTCAAATTCAGAATTGCAATGCAATTTCAGGGCGACAATAGAAAAAAGAATTAGGAAATCTATCTGATATTGCTATTTGTCGTCATTTCTTAGAACATTATAGTCATAATTCCATACTATAGAGATTTGAAATAGCCCCAAAGCAAGCTACGCGAGGAGTTCGTTTATTTTTAGGCACTACTAAATAACTGGAACCATCAATACAAAACAAGCAACCGTTTTCCGTTGGTTGGCCTTTGACCTGTTGAAAAAATCATTGTAAAAACTGTGTTCACAAAAATCCACTTTATTAAAGCTTACGTGAATTGAAATATTTACGACAAAGGAACAAATTTTAGGAATACTAGTAGTATGTAGGAGTTTCTTGAAAAATAAAAAAAAACGAACTCAAGATCTAAACGCACAATAAAGCACAGTATCACAAAGATTTGGCGCATAGACTACCCAGCTGGACTTGTCCGACAAGTAGTCTACTTTAGAGTAGAGTATAGAGTAGTATTTTCGGTCAGGTAGGACTGCCGGTGTCCAGTTTAGACCGCTTGTCTGTTCGTACGACCCTTATGGTGGGTTTTAGTGGATGGTCTAAAGATCTATACATGACCGGATGTTTCCCCATGTGTCTGTCCAGCATCTTTTAGTAATCTATATCTATTTCTACAGTACAGAAATTACGCCCTATTAGTGTCTGTTGGTTGAAGGATGGGACAATCGGGGAGCACCGAATGCGAAGGAGCCAAGTTGAACGTGAGTCGTCCTACATCAACGCCCAAACCGACGATATCGAGAGAGACGTACCCAACATACACTCGGGCCATCGTCCGCGGGATTCCCAACTCCATACGTGATCGCTCTGAAGCGAGACAACAGAACGGACTAGACTGCTGCTCGCTGTTTTTAGGTTTTTATGGTGGTCACTACACTTACGACAACATCCCCGAATGGGTCGAAGTTGGCAAAGCTCGCCGACAGCACGCCCGGTACATCCGGGTCCTGCGGGACCTGGGTCTAGAGGTGACCGTCCTACCGGCGGACGAGTCCACTCCGGACTGTCCGTTCGTGGAGGACACCTGTGTGGTGGTCGGTAACAGAGCGCTGGTCACCAGGCCCGAGGGAATGGTCCGAAGAAGAGAGGTAAGGCCACACTGGTTTACTTTTATGTTCATTGATTTTTGCCTGCTCTCTCTCTCTCTACAAAAAAAAAAAAAGATCACGTCCTCCGACGCCCTGGGTGCCATCCTCCGTAGCTTGACTTGACTTGACTTTGACTTTATTGCGATCCACACTTAGCTTACACAAATTGTATTGTAGCTATTCTTCCTGTGGTCCTTCAAGACACACATGACACACATTTACAAAACATAAATACATTAACAACAATTACTGTACAGTTGTGGCCCCAAGCAACTACTTGTGGAACCCCATATTGTAACACCCGTAGCTAGCGACAATAAGCAATAAGAAGCCGGCGGTAACTATGAATTGAGGGTGGCATCCATGACTCTAGAAATTACGCACAGTGCCGACTCATAAATTCCGCAAAAGGCCATCATGTGCCGGCTTGTCCTATGCGGCATTGTATTCCTGTGGTTTAGCAGCATTTTTTTTTTATTTTGGACCGGAATGTTTTTTATTCGTCCTCGCGCACTAGTTTAGGGGTCTTCAGAGGATGTCACCCATAACACAAAGTCAATGTGGTATAAGAAATATTTCATCTGAAAATTAAGGAACGAGAAGTTTTAACTTTAAACATGTAACTACCAACACAGATGAACTTTCATGAAACGAGAGTATAATTTGGCGAAGGTATGAGATCTTAGAACTCTAGTCTTTTAATTATTTTCAGCTCGCCAGCGTTGAGACCTGCCTGAGAAGTTTGGGTTTAGAGGTTCACAAGATATCTAGTTCGGGTGCTACACTTGAGGGTGGCGACGTCGTCTTCACAGGTAAAAAACTGTGTGAATATACCTCTGTGTTGATATATACATTTTATATATCGTATACCTTTACCTTTACCTAGTCCCATCCTCATGTCTGAGGGTCGGGGACTATGGTGGCATCCAGTATCAGCCTCCTCCACTCTCTCCTGTCTCTGGCCCTGTGAGAGCACTCAGCCAGTGGCATGCCCATATATATCGTATATAGCGTTATAAAAGAATTCGATTTTCAAAATTGTAGTATTACTAATATCCATTGAGTCCACTATTGTTTGCATTGGAAAACATTTGGAAGTACATGTAGTAAACTTTAAAAAAAGAGAAATTGTTTTTCATAATGCATCTCTGTACATAGATCTGTTATCATCATCGTTGTTCTATTTTTTGTGTTAGTTACTTTTCAAGTTTACGTTGTGATAATTTTGGCAAGTATAGTGGAAACTGTGCTGTTGTTGAATCATAAAGTCGAGTAATATTTACATATTGCAGGTACAGAATTCTTCGTAGGAGACTCCTCCCAGTCCAACCTGGCTGGTCACAGGATCCTGGCCGAGACGTTCCCAGAGTACCCCGTGCACTCCGTCCCTCTGTACCCGCCCGAGTTCCACCTGAAAGGCGTTGCCTGCTGTGCGGCGCCGGGTGTCATCGCTCTTGCGGACAACAGTGCCGGGCGTTTGGCATGGGACGTAAGTATCTGTCTGTATCTGTATCAGTATAGCCGGTATAACCGTCCTTCGGCGTAACACACCAGCTTCGCAGGCACGCGGCGCGGCAGCAGCTAGATATATCACACCGAACGACTTGTTACACTCAATCTTTGCACATTTAATTGCGGGAGTTGCTTAAAGCTTTCTAGTGATGATGCTCCAACTGTGCTTGATGGCAACGAGTTACAGTCTACGATAGTTCTGGGGAAATTGAGTTTTTGAACACCTCAATTCTTGGTTGATAACTCTGATATTTGAAGGCACGGCTGTTTCTTGTTCTTTTCACCAGTTTATTAATCATTTTGTACATCATGCACAGTCTGGACATTCTTCGCCTGTCTTCCAGCGACCCCCACTGTAGTATTGGGCGAGTACGGTAAACGTGGTCATGCAGAACATCGCAAATTAGCGCCCCCTCCCCCCCCCCCGCCAAACAAAAACAAATTAACGCCTGCCACAGAGAAGTAAAAGCAGCGAAAGTATGAGAGAGGCGAAGGGCCAAAGGAATAGCTTTGAGAAGCTTGTCTTAAGAAATATGGCTCTTTGTTTATTTCAGGTCATCTGTAGAAAGGGTGTATCGTCCTACCAGCCGCTGTGGCTGCCAGACGGTTCTGCTGTGGACTGTATCTACGTCAACGGAACACTCATACACTGTTCATGGGAGGAAGGGCGCTCAAACTGCCAGGTACCAGACATTTACTATATCATGAAAGTTCATCTGTGTTGGTACTTACATGTTTAAAATTAAAACTTTTGGTCCAACACAAAAAAAAATCTCTCACCTAGAACTTTCGACCCAGTGTGACGTCACACTTCAAAGAGGCCACGTGACAGGCTTCACTGGGTCAGTCTACTGAGGAAGACCAGAGTGACTGGTCGAAAGCTCTAGGTGAGAGAATTTTTTGTGTTGGACCAAAAGTTTTAACTTTAAACATACAATAGATTTACTTGTGTTTATTCAAAACAATAATCTCATGTTTGATTACCTCCGGATCCGTACACGGAGGTATTGTTTGCTCTGTGTTTATGTCACATGGGTTTGCTTGTGTGTTCGTATTATAGTGTGAATGAACGTGGGTAGTTAAATGCTGTAACCACAGACTGACAAGAGGTGAAAAAGGTTAGAAGGTCAAAGGGTCACAGAAGGTCACAGAAAAGGTCATCTCATTTCTTGTCTTTGACTATACATGGCTGTTGGCCGGAGAGTACAAAAAAGAGTCAAACAAGAGTTCCACGATCTCATACCTTCGCCGTAGACGTAGTGGTTTGTCGTCGATTATGCCAAAATGTCATTTGTACTAATTATATCTCGTTGATTAGATTCTCTACCCAAGTTATTCAAAGTTTGAAAGTCTCATCATAACAAAGAAGGCTGCTGTAGCATTTTCTTGTCTATAATGCAAATAAACCCTGGTTCACATAATTTATGTTGTATGATATTCAACTTAACTTGACTTACACACGTCACAAGTAAAATTCATATTCAATGTCATCATAATAAACATGATCATCTATCTATAAATCATTATAAATCATTATAATTTTGCTGTCTTTCTAGGTGTTTGCGCAGAACCTTCCAGGCTATAACCTAGTCAAAGTGCCTCTGGACGAGCTGGGGAAAGTCCAGGCTGCTCTGTCCTGCTGCTCAGTTCTCTTCTGACAACGGAAATGTTCACAAAATTCTCGACTACTGGTCAATATAAAACTAGAAAGGTAACATCTGCAATGTTTGTAAAGGTAGCATTTGCAAACGCATAATATTTACATTTGCATATAGGTTGCTCTGTTAATTCTTACTCAAATACATTCATACTGATGGTCAGACTAAATCCCTCCTACTATAAACTTGAAACATTACGTGGTATTATTGACATGAAACTGGTTAACCCTTATCCGACTAAAGCATTTGGAGACGGAACGGACCCCAGTCATAAGTTAAAAAATTGAGTGATTTCTTAACTCAAACATTTTGTTTAAGTTCGTTTTTAATTAGCGTTAGGTCGTCGTCCAATGAGTATCCAAACATGTCAAAATCCGGTTTGTAGATTTCTCCGAGGCGACGTATGTCCTCCGTCGGGACCTCACGGAAGGTGGTACCGAAGTTTGCTTTAGCCCGTGAGGGGCGCTGTCTCGGGAGAAGGCCGTCCTTCCCTACGATACCGCTCCTGTGGAAGAACAGGAGAAGGTCTTCTGGCAGCGTGTCTGTATGAGCAATAAAATCGTATTGAACCTGCAATGGAGTAGAAAGGTACACTTAGGTATTATTGTGAACATATTGTACTACAGCGGGAGAGGTAGTTGTGTTTGAGGTTGTTTACTTTCCTTCTTTACGATATACAAGGGTCGTTTGTGTGTGTGTGTGTGTGTGTGTGTGTGTGTGTGTGTGTGTGTGTGTGTGTGTGTGTGTGTGTGTGTTTGTGTGTATATATGTGTGTGTGTGTGTGTGTGCTCGCGCGCGCGTGACTTTGTGTGTGCGTGTGTGTGCGTGCACATGACCATATGCATAACCAAAATGGAGATTTCTAATAAACATAAACATAAAAAAACATTCTTGGTGAAGTTTAAACTACCTGGCAGGGGGCACATCGCCTGAAGAACGGTTCCCAGTGGATATTTGGGAATTTTCTGTTGACAATACTCCAAATGAAATCCCTGAAGGTAATCGGCGGTAGGTCGCCACTTGTAACCCCCACAGATCCTCGTCTATTCCTGCTGGACACATACTGAAATAGATATATTAGATAGACGATGAGAACAGCACTTTCATTATCATGTGAACATGAGTACAGAGACTCTTTCTACGCAACCATGTCTTTTTATTCAGCTGGCGTTTCGGTGACCGTCTGTCACCTTCCTCAGAGCATTTCTGACGGGAGTTGGATACGTTTGTAGATACATTTCCCTGTGATCACGCATATGTGAAGGCATGTAAATATTGTACGTTTGGGAAATGCATCTGTAGCAGCGACACCTGTGCTGCAGTGCAATGTGAACCAGTCAGAAATGCCCTGAGGAAGGTGACAGACGGTCACCGAAACGTCGGCTGAATAAAAGTCTCTTTACTAAGTGTCTTACCAACCTGATGAAACTATTCACTGATCATATGAACATGTTGAATAGCCAGCATTAAATAGTCATACTATTTTCCATATCTACGATGTATAACACCCTCTTTTAGAATCGCATTTTTAAATTGGGAAATATCATACCATACGTTTTTATGCTCCAGAACTTTTACTATACTTTTCTTTTTCTCAAATGTACACGGCGAAGATTCCCACCCTGTTTGTTGCTGTAAAGTTCGACTTCCACACTTCCCGCTGTAACCTCTTTATATAGGAGAAGCGGCGCGGGTTGTAGACAAATTTGTCAAACCAGGCAGACGTCAGCCTGAAAAAATTAGGAGATGAAAACCTCATGCGTATTGTAAATATATATCTTAGATATAGATATTATAATGTATAAAACCTACAAGATTTAATTAACAACAATTGTCGGCATTGGATTAAAGGCAAGACATATAACACACCTTATGATATCTAATATATGATGGTGTCTTAACCTTAGCTAACATCTAGATAATATTCCCATGTATTTCTATTTACAATTGAGTATTTTTTATTGTCTACAAGCATTTAAAGTTACTCTTATGAGGAAAACATACGTTATTTATGAACACGCACACACAAGAACAATTTAGAGTAGGGGAGAAATACCTTTCCAATGGGTCGCGGACAACAATCAATTTGTTGTAGGTTGACAAACGCATTCTCGCATCCTTCTTGCTGTAGCTGTTCAGAAGCTTAAAGCGTTGCTCATGAATCCATCCAAGTTTGTGATCTTCATTCCTTTCATTCTTGTCATGTTGGAGATTGTACATTACAAGTTTTGTTGTTGTACATCCAGTTTTAGGTATAAAGCAGTAAATGGTTTTAGTCTTGTCGATAACGATTAAATTCTTGAGATACTTTTGTGACTGGAACCCCTAAAAATAAAAAATAAAGGCAAAAATTATATTCGAACTAGAGTTCGTTCGCGAAATGATGCTAACCTTGATCACTGACGAATCGTATATTATTTATTGGTATTATATAGTATTATTTAGCCCTTGTTGTTTTTATTCAATCGTTGTTGCCAAACATTGTACCCATGACTGTTTGGGTTATGCTGTTCACACACACACACGCACGCACACACACACACACACACACACACACACACAAACACACGCGCACGCACACACGCACACAAAAATCCCCAAACAATTAAAGCATTTCAGACGAAGGAAACTGACCCTTGAAAACACATCGGGATTCTTCCTGCAAAATTCCTTTAAGACGGCGATTCTCTTCTCCTGCGCGATGATTGCCAGACGCCTGGTATCTGTGCAGGCGGTACAGTCGGAAAAGGCCGTTTGTACTACTATCCAAGCAGAGGTTGTGGGGAATTATCGTTACCTTTTTATATATGGTCGTTTTTTTTTTGTTCTGATCCCCGTCGGTGGCTAATGGAGCTTCTCTGGCTAATGGATACTGTCTGGCCAATTTGATACTGTTTTTTTTGCCACCTATAGGGATCTGCTTGGAGATTACGTTTTTACGCTATATGTGAAATTTTCAATAGAAGCTCACCAAATTTTACTACTATTTATCATAGTGACCAAATTTATTTTCTCAAAGTGTATATTTCATCCCATTGTTTGACCTCCAAGATATATATGTCGTAAATAAATCGCATTAATAATATATGAGGTAAAATATTCCATCAGATACATTTTGTATGTAATGAACTGCATAAGGTTTCGTATTATTGACATATTTGTGTATAAAAAAATGTTCATACTCCCTTTGTGGAGTACGAACAAACACGAAGATGACAAACGCACAAAACTCCACCGCAAAGAACATGCTAAGGACAATTGTATCGGAATACCTCAGTCGATTCAAAACATGCCATTCCATTAATTGCCTTGGCATTTTTAAGAATGATGAACATCATGATATACAATATTTTCCTTTATCTTTCATTTCGTGGCGTATCATCATGACATGTCTTGAAAAAGAACACATTTTGTACTTTAAGTACTGTAAGCACGTACCTGTTGCGTTTATATGATGGTCTCCATTCAGAGAATTGTTTACGTTGAATGGAAAGGATTCCATTCGTGGCGGTGGAGATTTCCACGTTGTCCTAGGTCTATTACCGACGTAATAATACACAGCAGCAGTCCACGCAAACACGCAAAACAGAGTCATATACTTTGCAGTAGATTCTCGTTTTACCTCAGTGAGGAACGGCATCAAGCCCTCTGTTGTCATGGTGGGAGTTTTAGTGAGACTGAATAAGACCTGACCGTCTGTAAACGTGACAACCTAAATATCCCGTTACAAGGCAGCTGAAGTATCGTCTGACAACCGATGCCTACTCATGTGCGTTGAGGCAATTGTGCGAAGTCAATTATAGGGTCCATGTCTGAGGTGCAATCACCATAATTGGGGCTACGCACGCGAGGCAAACTCTATGAAACAAGAGGAGACACGCGGTATCAACGGCGATCTCATACATGGTGATGACCACCTATATTATATATTGGCTATAAATTGGCTGACATTTACAGTCCTGCTCACTAGCAAATTTTGAAGCATAGTACTCGTGTTTACATGGCCCCTAGCTCCAGTCACGACAATTCTTTTCATAATGCTTGCAATAGGATCTTTATTCATTTCGCATCTGTACATTGCTTTACATAGATTATTTCTCTATATTCTTCCACTATCTATTCACCTAAAAGGGTGCAGGTTCCTCGCCCTGAGTGAAATTACAATAATTGTCAATGGACCAACTACTAAAATATCATGCTAAATGCAATGTGCTTTTTGTTCTGTTCCAACTTAGCGCGTGTGTGCTGTACGTATACATATAAAGAGTTACAGAAAGATGAATTGCTCCATGCAGGATTTTCCCACACGATTAACACTCTTACATTTCGTGAATACATTCTGAGCAAGATGAAGCTTTATGTCATTTTCTTTTCTTTGCTATCTGCTTCTTTGCTTTCTCCCTTCTGTTCCTCAGTATCTGTCAGGTTGTCGTCTGATTTCTTCCCATCATCCGTTGCGCCGTCCTCTTCGATGTCCACTGCCGGTGACGTCATTTCCGTGTGGGGTGGACCACGTGACTTCTCACGGAAGGCTATGATCTCCCAGTCCTCTGCTTGAATCAGTTTTTCAGACTCCTCGGTTTGTTTTTCTCCATTTTTAGAATCTGCATGAAAGGCATTATCATCAACATACAAGCACTCAAATTCAATGCCACTAACATTAGGCTGCGTTCAACGTAACTAGTATGAGCAACTATATGAAATAAAGACTAAACTTCATCTGCCATCACGAATGAACTGGGACTATCCCAAATTTTCGGCTGATTCCAACAACCTTGTTCATAGAATGGACCCTACTTTTGGAACGTGACGTCAGAGACACGTGACCATACTTTCATGCTAGTATGAGTAACGTTACATCATATATGTATGTATGCAAACATGATACATGATGTATTCGAAAAAACATGCTAGACCGACTCACAACAAAAAGAAAACCAGTAAAGCAAAGCTTGCTTTCGTGTGGCTTGTCTCCCTTGCTTCAAAGCGTACATAACATAGATGCATATGTAAGACCCATAGATCCAGCCCCTCACCCACCCAATTCCTACCTCTTCTGCGCATGACCGGAACCAGTTCGGCTCTCCTGATTCCCTCCTTCCGTTTCGGCATGATGACGTAATCAGACTGTTGCTCCGAGCCTGGCAGAGAAGCCCGGCTGTTCCGGACCCCGTAGGAAAAATACACCAGCAAACCTGCAAGTCATAGGATAGTCTTTACTAAAGATGTACTCTACGTCATATACAAGGAAATAGTTGCTCAAGGAACTGGATAGATTTCGAAAAGTTTTAAAAATCTATTCAGTTCCTTGAGTAACTGTTTCCTTGGGTATCTCATTTCCTGGATGTCGAACTTTCATCGACGTCAGTTTTGACATATGGCATTAATATATTTGATAATAACCTGCCTTAAAATAAGTTTTTAAGTTGTGCGGTAAGTTTAGAACAGTATTTAATACTTTTTGTGGAGAATGTATAGCCTTTTTTTAAAAATCAACAACAAGCGACTGCTTGGACGCCATTGACCAATCAAAGTCGTTCTGTTTTTCAGGTGAGAACAAATCACCACGTGAACTTCACGTGATCAGTCAAACTCACCAATCACCATCCAGACAGCGAAACGAATCCACGTGATGCTTCGTAGCGACACCATCAGGCAGATGTTGAGGAACATGGAAATGGCGGGAAGAACGGGCACGAACGGCACCTAGCAAAAGATATAACAGAAGAACTAGAAATGTAACATTTGCCAAGCAAAATGCATAACGTTAACCTTCACATGGTCTAGCCTAACAAACTACTGTTCTCAGTTTATTCTCATTCAAACACATGGTGTAACCCAACACGCCATAGCACGAGTCACTATGCTGACAGCCGCCTGGTCCAGATCTTTGTTTAGAGAAGGAGAAGAAGAAACAAAGCAAAATCAATGTTTAAAAGCGAAGGTACTTAATCATGTATTTTGAATGTTCGTACGTGAGCACTTGGGTAGGTGGTTCAATTAATGATTTGAATCCAGCCTCTGGTGAAATATCATTCGCCATTTTTCTCACCTTGAAGGTCATGATGTTCCTGTTCTGCTTGTGGAGACTGATGACCACCAGTGTCAGCACCAGCCCCACTGTAAACGCCACCACTCCCACACCAGCCCAGATCTGCCGGTACGTGGTCGCTGTAACAAAACCAACAAGAAAACGGACATTTCAGACTTCTTGGTAGCATCAATATTTGTGTTTTTGTGGTATTTATTAGAATTCAACCGAGGAGACTTATGTTATACTCGTTAATCGGGACTATGTCAGATACTGTACAGGATTTGAGGGTCATCCATATAAAATTAATCCTTGTCTTATATGTCAACCTCTTATTCCGGCTCAGACAGATTCTGACACCTTTACGTTTACCCCCATTTCCTGTGTCCTGGCCTTTTCTGATTCATTGCAGCACAACAATGCACAATGGGGTGTGCACGTGGGGTCTTGTGGTGTAGCGGCAGAGTGCGCGACTCGGAACCAAGAGTCCCGGGTTCGAGTCCTGACATGCCACCGATCTTGTGCCCTTGGGAAAGGCACTTTACACGACTTTCCTCGCTTAGCTCAGGTGTAACTGAGTATTGTCCTGTCATGTATTTGTCCCGTGTTGGTGGCGGCATTAATATAAGTTGACAAAACTTGAGTGTGCCGTCACCACGTCTGGTGATTACATGTTGGAATTAAAAAAAAAAAACAATGCACAACATATTTTTCTATGGCCTCATCCGACTCACCGTTAAATCCGTACATGACTAGCATCGCCAGTCCGACCTCAAAGATGGCCATGATGAGTACGGCAGTACTGACGGCCTGTCCCGGCTCGGCGCCCCGGAGCAGCGGGAGGAAGGTGTACGCCTGCTTCAGCACCCCGGGCTGCTCCCGCCTCCTCCGGACCGCCTCCTCCCTCAGCTGCTCCTCCCCCTGCTCGAACCACGGCGGGATCAGGTCCAGCCCGGCCAGCTCGTGAGGGAAGTGCGACTGGTACCTGTGAGAATTTAAAAAAAAAACTGTCAACCATAAAGTCTTTAAAATAAAACAAGAAATCAGAGATTTCAGACTTCTCTCCGGGAAGTACTTGGGATATCGATTTGCATCTGCACGTATTGGAACTGTGGAGGGGGTTGCACCGCTTCCTGAACTGAATTCCTCTGCACGTGCAGGGTCGCTTCACTTTCCTATCAAATCAGCACCTCCAACCCGCATTTTGCAATCGAAGCAATTAGGCACAAACCCATCCAACTAAAACATTACTTCCGTACCCAGAAGGTAAAATTCACTTTCCCGTGAGCAACAAACCTAATCAAATTCCATTCATTTACTTCTAGTTCTTCTGTACGCAAACAATAATCACACAAAACAGGATGAAGCATAAACTCTCTCAGGGAAGTTAAGATTGCACAGGTGGACCCGACACTGACCTTGTGACGATGACACTTGCAGCTACAATGGTGTACGCTAGGAGCGTTCCTATCGACAGGAACTCCACCAGCGACTGGATGTTGAACAGCAGGGCGATGAGGGCGGTCAAAAATCCGAAAACGACTGTGGCGAGCACCGGTACATGGGTCCTAGCGCTAACCTGGAGTGGTGAGGAATACATTATATTTCAATAGCTTGAAGGATGGCAGCAAAAAACTCTTTCTGTTTTACCCTTGGGTCAGTGAGCGTCATGGGTAATGGGTCTGCCATCTTGGAATGGATAGAACGATGGCCTTCATATAAACCCGTGTAAACAACGTATATCACAACAGAAACCAAACGACAGGAAAAACCTATTCTGTTTTACCCTTGGGTCAATGAGCGGCGCCATGTTGGTTTCTGACGTCATGTGTCGGTCATCTTTGCTTGGAACGTACCAACTACTTTTACGGGTAGAAACCGGGTTAAAGGGTACCTACCTTTGAGAAGGGATGGTAGAAGAGCCCGTCTGACGCCAGTGCGTACACGGAGCGGGGCAGCGCGAACAGTGACGCAAGCAGGGCGGCCGTCATCGCACACATGGCGCCTACAGCCACGATACTGCCCGCCCAGCCCCAACCTCTTAAACTGAAGAGGAAGAAGAAAAGTTTGTTCGTCTTATTCCAAAGGGGTAAATAGATATGTCACTATTGCTTTGCATATGTCTAACATGATTTGTTAGCATATCAACAAAACTATCGATTGCTTCATTTTACAACAAACTGACAAACCTAGAGATATTGGCGATGTAGTTATGGAAACGATTGAACGAACTCAAACAATTCTTTCATGAAAGTTCAGACATTTTGCTGACCTGAAGGCTGAGGCCAGGGCGGACCTGGGGTTGACGGCTGTCCAGGGCACCATGAGGGTGAGAACCGCGGACACGCCCACGTACGCAACTATCGTGAGAATCACCGAGATACAGATGGCGACCGGGATGCTCCGCGCGGGGTCACGTGCTTCCTCCGCCAAGTTCCCCACCACGTCGAACCCCACGTACCCGAAAAACGCCGAGGCCGCGCCTGGAGTGGGAAGGCAACATTTACAAAGCAGATGTATCATTGACCTGGATTATGTGTGTTTGTGTGTGTGTTTGTGTGTGTGTGTGTGTGTGTGTTTATGTATATTCCAACATGTAATCTCAAAACATTGTGGCACACTCAAGTTTTTTTCAACTTATATTAATGCCGCCACCAACACGGGACAATACAATACTCATTTTCACCTGAGCGAAGTAAGGAAAGTCGTGTAAAGTGTCTTTCCCAAGGGCACAAGATCGGTGGCATGTCAGGACTCGAACCCGGGACCTCTTGGTTCCGAGTCGCGCACTCTGCCGCTACGCCACCCGACCCCACAGGTCGTGTGTTTAAAGTAGCAGAGCAAGAAACATACTGAAGGGGTTCGTTATCCATAGCTTGTGTTAAGGTCACCCACATATTACATGTATACTTGATGAGACCTGAGAGTCATGAGTCACACAGGTCACGTGACTCACCGTTCATGATCCCCCTCCATCCGAACGGCATGAAGCCTCCGTAGTCGGTCCAGTTGTGCAGGTCGGACAGCATCAGTCCCGACACCAGGATGAACAGGATCACCATCAGGTTCACTACAGTCAGCACCGAGTTCAGCGTAGACGACTCCTGATCAGGACGTAGACTTAAGGTGATTAAAGACACAGAGCTATACTACAATGATAGCAACTCTATGGATGGGGCAGTTTATATGATGAACTAGAAATTGCCGTATTCAGAATAACTCCCTACTTTGTATCATTTGTATAACCCGCGTAAAAGCTACCAGTCAGACTTCCAACGTCACCTTCCTGTCAATCTGCTGTTACAGCCCCCTACCTCCCTGCCAGTGTACTGCATTCAAATATCTACGGACACATAAGGAAGTACAGACACATATACACACACACACAAACAAACAAACACACACACAAGCACAAATATACGCACACAAATGTACACGTAGACGCATAGAAATCAATGGACAAGTAATACCCAAAGAAAAAGAAATCCCAGTGACCTTTGCTCCGAGGATGACCAGCAGCATGATGACCAGCACCACTCCGAAGGCGATCAGGTCCGGTTTGTCCGCGAACGGCCGCAGGTCAGTTATCAACAGGTGCTGGTCAGTCCAGTTCGATATCCTGGGGTTAACATACGTCCTGTTATTCTTTTGTACTTTAGGTCCATTTTTATTAAACTATTTGGTAATCAATCCCGTCCTGCGCCTTGCTACACAATGTTTAACAAACCAACACTGTCCTGCCACTTGCTACATAATGGATTCCAACACCTTCTGCGAAGGTAGATATACTTAGATATTTGTGGATATATGGCAGAATATATGGCAAATGCAATCCTCCTACCTGTTGTCCACCAGGTAGTCGATGTAACCACTCCAGGCCCGCGCCACGGAGGCTGCACCAATCATGTACTCCAACACCAGGTCCCAGCCAACCACGAACGCGAATAGCTCACCCACCGTGACGTAGGTATACACGTAAGCAGAACCTGCGTCATCATCAACCATATATGGTTATCAATTATTGAAGCACCAATCATGTTCTCCATCACCAGGTCCCAGCCAACCACGAACGCGAATAGCTCACCCACCGTGACGTAGGTGTACACATAAGGAGAACCTGCGTCATCATTGACCATATATGTATATCACGATTAATGCACCAATCATTTACGCCGACGTCTAGGTCCTAACCAATCACGAACGCGAACTGCTCTATTCCCATGTACATGTTAGCAGAACCTCCGTCATCATTTACCAAATATGGCCAGTCAAAGCACCAATCAGGTTCTTCGAAACCCACCTGCCCTGGGAATCCTGGCGCCGAACTCTGCGTACGACAGCGCTGAGAAGAGCGAGGCGATGCCGGCGATGAGGAAGGACACCGTGACGGCGGGGCCGCACATCTCGTGCGCTACTGTACCCGTCAGGACGTACAGACCCGCTCCGATCTAGGGCAGGAAGAATGTGGAATCACGTTTCTCACGAAAAAAAATAGGTGTTCGAAATAGAACAGGGGCGGGGTCTTTTCAAATAACATCAAATGATGAGACCCCCCTATTTTGAACACCTATTCTGAAATAATAAAACAGGGGTTCGACGCGTGAGACCAGGAACAGTCTATTGTCAGAAAACGATGATTTTCACCCACCATGGCGCCAATGGACAGCAGGGTCAGTTCTAGAGTGGACAGGCACCGTTTGAGCGGGGTGGACAGCGCGTCCAGTCCCAGACTCTTGGTCCGGATCAGCTTGGTGCAGAGCGTGCTGCACATCAGGCTCACGCCGCGGGGCGCAGAGCCTCGTCTGGGGGCTATGGTCTCGTCCGCCATGCTGCTGCGGTTTGGTGGATTTATGCTAGATGGCGCTGCAAGGGGCAAATGTGTTGCCGTTAGCCACACAGCCAGATAAACATTGAGCTTTGCTATTTCTGACTTTATATATGCCAACTTACCGCCAGGACGGATACATAAGAAAACTATTCGGCATATTTTATTTGACTGAATGGCAACGTCTGTTTCCCAGCGCAAATAACACGAAGTCTCGTAACGCTTTGGTAAACTATTCTCTGTTCTTAGCAAATGTATGATAAGAAACGAATGTGTCTATATATAACTCTGTGGATGAAAATGAACACGACAGTGGGTTGTTAAACATGTTGAATACGAAGCAATGGATCATAAAATCCGGTCTCGAAGTCTCAATGCACTGAGCATTTCTAAATGTAAAACCTAGCAGGTTTTAATTTCAGATAGGTAGCCCGCCTATACTCATTGATTTATTCGAAACACAGGGGATGTAATGATGAAAGTGAGTAACCAATGATATCAGTCAGACAAAGTATGTATAACAAAGATACAATTAATATCATTTAAAGTCATAAAAAATCTATACATATGTATTACGCATACACGTACGTAAAAGAAAGCTGGTACATGGTTCGTGTCTGTTCGTTTGGTCATTTTGTTATTGGTACAACCACCTAATTAGAAAGAAATCAAAGCATAAACGTTTCTTACCGATATCTTTTGGTGTCCTGTCCTTAATTTCTTACATCGTCCAGGAAAATTTTGTCGACATTTCTGTGATCCCCTCTGGAGTGGACAGGTTACACTTCGGCTACGATATTGCGCAAGCGCGATTACAGGTCAGAGTTCAGAAAGTAGTACGACCGGTTTTACAACTTTCGGGTCATTTAAGGCGCCTTCGCACTAAAGTTCACACTAAAATGCAGCGACATCTAGCGGTTCGTAACCGTTGTACAAAACCTAAGCTTCAAAGCTTCAAACCATCAAAACTTGGTGTCTTTAATTAATCTCCGATCAGATTTCTCCGGGGTAAGCTTAAGGCGACACTACTGACCAGCCTACAGGGGCCAACTGGTCAACAGTACCCACTTGCCCCGGAAGAACTGCTCGAAGATTAGTCTTTGATAGTTGAAGAAATGTATCTTGTGTATATATAAATTGTAGTCATATAAAGACAGACAGGGTCTCAAGGCTGTGCGTGTGAAGGAGAACATGGCCATCCACGCATTCAGATCTTAAATGATAACTTCACTTTTCCGATCATTTTTCATCTTGTCGCATTCCTATCTCGAGATGTTAGTGGTTACGTTTGAACTTTTCGCGGCCTTGCAGAATTGCATGCGTGCGTACGAGCTAGCTTGTTCCAAGCAAAGTCTTGTTGAAGAAAATAACCTAGCGTGTTTTCACTGTCCCTTTTAGAAGTTACATGTGTCAGTCATGTCAACAAATGTTACCATCTTTCCTTGGCCTTCAAGTATCTTCTCGAAGTATACACTCTAAGTACACTCTCCCCCCCCCCCCTCCACTCTATCACCACAAACATGTCTTTCTGTTTCCCGTGTTGACGCAACATCCTCTTGGAAGGGTTGAGGACCCTGAGTAATGCGGAGAATGCGGGAAGGCCGCGGCACTTCCTCGGCGTGTGTGGGCCTGTCGGGCCGGCCCGAGGGCGACCAGGGTTCCCCGAGCCAAGTGTTTCCATCTTCAGATGGGCGGCCGTGCGATGACAGGCGAGGAACACACGCACACCTCTCTCCCTGGCCAGCCGTGTTCACAAGTCTTTATCCAGAACTTTATCCAGAACAGTGCATCATCCAGAACCATCATCAAGCACGGTTCTGGATGGTCCATGCGTAATCCAGAACCGTGACTTTATCCAGAAACATGCTCAGGCACGGTTCTGGATATAGTCTACACATATTCAAAACCGTGCCTGGAGCAAAACTACGTTCTGTGGAGAGTGTAAATTATCCATAACCGTGCCTGATCTAAACTCTAATCCATTCAGACATAGAACTAGATGTGCACGGTTCTGGATACAATACCCACACAAAATCACGTGCAAGCTGAGTGTGCTAAGCCCCAAGCAGGTGTAGGATTACTTTCTGTGCGTCTTTACATCGTACATTGTCGTACGATTTGTTTCTTTGTCGTAAGCTTTGTCGTATAACGTACCAAACCGCCCCTTTACCTGTGCATGCACCTCCCAAGATGTTGGCTTCAAATTTGGTAAGTTTGGCGGGAAAATAGCATACCGAACGCCCGTTCCCAGGGGATAACAGCATACCGAGCTCCCGTTCCCAGAGTCCCCCGGGGAAACCAGACCGCCATGTTCGGTCGGCTGGACACAGGTATGCTGCACATGCGTGCCAAGGACACGGCGTTCTCACACTAACAGGGATGCACTGCTGACAAATCTCCAAGCAGATCTTTTAGTGGCTACAAGACAGTATCAAATTGGCAAGACAGTATCAAATTGGCAAGACAGTATCAAATTGGCAAGACAGTATCAAATTGGCAAGACAGTATCAAATTGGCAAGACAGTATCAAATTGGCGAGACAGTATCAAATTGGCGAGACAGTATCAAATTGGCAGAACGGTAGCCGAAGCCTTCTGCTTAAAGATTATCACTAACGACCTCTTCATTCAATCAATACTTGTTTTATGTCTTCAGTTTCTTGACTAAACGATTATTATCCCCATATGACATTGCGTTTTGACCTTGCACTTAGTTATGTGTACATTGAACAGATATAATTTTCCGATAAATGCCACCATTGAAATATTCCTTTAAATGAGACGAACCGTTTCGCAGTAGATGACAAATACTTAATTCTGGAGATAGGTATTAATTAGGACTGTAATGAGGTAGAAAATATCATAAAGAAAACATAAAAAACACAAAGAGGAGAAATCAAGTAGCAAAATCTATATGAAAATTGGCAAATGAAGGACACACCAGAGGTGTACTATTTGGGAAAATTGTTTACTGGAAATTGAAAACAACAGTCCCGGCAACATATTTTTGGTCTGTGTGGAACGAAATTCTTTTCAGGCAAAGCCAATAAGACTCTGGTTGACGTTTGAAGTACATATGTGCGCCTCGTGCGAAAATGTGGTGCATTGCAACACACCTGGGAAAAAAGAACAAAAAGCATATTATGTTGCACATTTCTAATCAGCTACTAAACAGAATTTGGGACTATCACAGACCAAGGATCGACTGTGCTCGAACCCTTGCAGCCCGTTTCGTCATTAAGAGCGACCTTGGAGTTGCAGTGCGCTATGCCTGTCATCTGTGGTATCCCATCCATGGTCCCGAACAACTGGTGTTTGTGATTTTGTGGTCTGAAATGAGGTACTTTGCATCCTGCTCAAAGCCACCTGTGAACAATCCTTACAAGTGGAACGAAAACAAAAACACTGGTCATTTTCACAGAGGAAACAAACGTATTAAAGGCCCTTTCTCTACATGAGAACTATATCAAGAGGTTATCAGAATGCTTTATTTAAGGGCTGTTCTTGTTTGATTTTATGAAATAGTCAGTTAGAATAAACATGTTTTTAAAACTTTTTCCATCTTTTCTCATCTAACTCTGCTTTTTTTTTCCTACGCCGTTTTCCTTATCTTTTTTGATCCGGTTTAAAGGCGTGTTACATTCTTTAAAAACGACGTAATCTTGATCTCTATTAGTCTGACGATAAGGAAGAAAACCGGTCATCTTCACTCGTCACTCTCCGTCCACCCACACAGCGACATTACCCAGGACTGGGCGATGTTACTACTGACCGAACATGTAGGGGGTAAACTGGAGAGGATGAAGGTGGAAAATGACAAGAATGTGTAAATCTCATCAAGCCGGATATTTCAATATGTTGTTGAATTGTTGTGCTATTTCGGTGATAGTATCTTAGTTATGGCGAAATGTGTGTGTGTGTGTGTGTGTTGTGTGTGTCTGTGTGTGTGTGTGTGTGTGTGTGTCTGTGTGTGTGTGTGTGTGTGTGTGTGTGTGTGTGTGTGTGTGTGTGTGTGTGTGTGTGTGTGTGTGTGTGTGTGTGTGTGTGTTGTGTGTGTGTCTGTGCGTGTGTACGCGCGAGAATCCTCTTTATAATCAACCCTCGGCTGGTAGGAAGAAAGACCATTTGGAGATACCAGACATCAAAGGTGTCCCGAGCTGTCCCAGGGTCGTCTGAAACAAAATACGGAACTCCGAAGCTCGTGCGTGAAGCATTCGCCATGACGGATTCAGTTTTCCGGATTCCTAAAATATGACTCTATTCCGTCGACTTTTTGTTGCCTTCCAGACCGTCGTGAAAATCGTTACTCTTTTTCAGTGGACTAAAGATCCTATCGTTCTACCAAGACTTCAAAGTTTTTTCAGGGTCAGTGGGAGCAAGATGAAACAAACTGGGAGAGAAAAGAAGCTTTTTTTACCAGTTTTGCGGTGACGAATTCGATTTTCCCAGTCTGGCAGGGGTATCTATATTGCCCTTGTTTCCAGCCGTCCCGTGGCATATTGGTGTCGTTTCTGGGGTAAATAGAGATCTCTTTCCAGTAACGAGGGCATGAGAAGCTGGCTGGGGTGACCTGGGTCGCGATGCACCATGGGTGGTTAAGGGGTACACTTTCACCGCCAAAATACCGAGGAAATTCGGCAGAATAGCATCAAAAGGCCGCGCGAGGGAGCGTTGTGCGGGGATCAGAATGGCACGCTGCGGCTGCCATTGCCCGACCCGGCGTGGCGGTTTTGTCCGCACCGTCCAAGACTGAAGGGAAAGGCGACCCTTCGGTTTCCGCAAGCCCGCGTCTTTGTGCCCGCCGACCACATCAAACGTGAGCCGCGACAATGGCGTCCGCCTCCCGACGGTTTGTCGTGTTTCCAGCCGAGTCGGGGCTAATCGGGAGTCAGCGCCTCGCGATGTGGGAACCGGGCCGGGGAACAAAGGTGTCTCCCGAACACCGCGGAGCGTGGAGAAGTGTGACAAACACGGGGCCAGGGGAACCTGCCGGGCCGGGCAGAGCTCATCCGTCTCACGGAGACATCACGGGCCTTTCCAACGCGGTTGTCTGGGGGGATGGGGGGGGGGGTAGTAGTATGCGTTGACTAGGGTGGGGACGTCGGTCGGAGGTACCCTCTACCTGGCTTCGGAAAACGGCTGGAAAGAGTAGAAATCGGTCAGCTAGACAGGTAACATGCCGGGGGACTTGGTCCCTTAATTTTCCGCTCTCAAACCAACTCCCCTGGTATGTTACATGTATCTGACTATTTGGCTTATTGCTTATTTCTAGTTTTTCCAGCCGCTTCCGATGCCTGGTAGAGGCTAGGTCGGAGGCAATGTTACCAATTATCTCTGACGAAGGAAAGAGAAGAACGAAGTGAATCCAGGATACAATGACTTTTTAAATGTGTAGAATCAAATCAAAATGTTCACCTATCTATGCGAGACTCACCATTTTCAAGGACAAACATTCATTTCAAGGTCAGCTACGTAAGACACTTGGGTAACGTCGTCAGTGGTCAGCGATTGTACGGAAATTTATATTTGGTTGTTTGCAACCACTTGTAATACTGTAGTCGATCGAATTTTCAAGGTCATAATTTCTGTTTCAAGGTCATAACTAATGTGGCAAATAGCAATGGGCCTTTATTGTAATAATAGGATATAGAGCATATATCATTGACCCCCCCCCTCCCCCTTACAATGTAGTACATAGCTTTTATCATTACAATGGTGGAAAAGTACAACTTGTGTATGTTTAGTTAACAGGTGGTCGTACCGAACACGATAGACGGGCGAGGTCACCGCGCTATTTCCGGTTTTGGTCGGAAGTAATTTCACATTCCAGAGGTAGATTCACTGGAAAACACATTTCTTGCATTTTAGGTGTCAAGATGACTCAGACGTTCGTCAATGTTAATTTTTGAAAGGAGCAAATTGTTAAAATTCTGTTTTTATGGTATTTTGGCATACAACGTGTAAAATGCATGTGTCACGGAAAGGAAAGCGAAGTTGATTGAGTCTTAAAATTTTCTATATGCATACCGGAAAACGACTACGGATAAACGTGTATTCATTGCAGAATCACTTTTTTTTGGAAATGATAACGTTTGATTTCCAAGAATTCGAGCTATTTGTGACAGATCAAGGGCCAAAGAATGTACAGGAATGCTTCTTGTTTATTTTGTCTCAGTGTTTCCCTCTTTAGTAGATATCATTAAAGTAAAGAAGCTAGGAGAGAACAAAGATCTCTGACAAGAAGTGAGATCATTAAAGTAGGTTAAAGATGCAGGAATGTTGCCGTATTGTCCGGCACATATTCACAGGCGACAACACGTTTAGATGGTAACAATGGCGTCCCTACAGGAGACAGAGAACAGCACATCCTTCTGGTATTCCCACAAAAAAACTCACGCGGCAAACATCAAGGGAAAAGGCTCAAAAGAAGCCTTCAATTCGCCAATTTTCTGCCCGGGCGACACCGCCCCACCATGACGACTTCTCTGCCGACGGGACGCCTCGGAATTCTTCCCGCTATTGTTGTTCGATTATTCCTGTCTGGCATTCAGACCATTCAGGCCCGGCACGACTGTTTTCATGCCTGTTTTCTTTTGCCATTAGCGCAAACCAACATCTGCACGCGTTCCCACAAATGGAAAGTCGCCCGGGGTTTGCCTCTCGGCACAAAAGGACTTTTGGCTAGCAACTCTAGTTAGCTCTACAATGTACAATTTTTATCTCTTTCTGCAAAGTTTTTCCATTAATGTTTGTGATTAATAATGTGTTCAATTTGTGATTCAGTATTGCACTTATGTGTGCATATTTTGTAAATACGAACATGCAAAGCTGAATAAAGCTGAATCTGATTCAAAGTCGCAACTACTAAAAGAGTATGTTTCAAGCAATTCCTGCAACAGTGTAACTATATAACGTGCTCTATCATTTAGTGGAGAATTCTATGTTGAGGTGTATGTATTTTTGCTGGTTCTGAATCATAGATAATTGTTGAATGCTCACTTCATTACAGAAAGTGTATTGAACCATCGTCTGTGTTATGGGCATATTGTGTTACATCACGTTTGAAACGTTTCAAAAGTCGTTACGTATTGTAGACGATGAATACTGAAGACAAAATAGCTTTTGTCTGGGTAAAGTTGAAAATTATTACGTTCCCCCCAGGACGTCACCTCCTATTGAGCTCCTTGAAGAGTTTCTTTTCTTTGACCATTTTCTCAAGGCTTGCGGAGAAACGTGGCTTCTTGTTGTTAAAGGAGATGAAAGAAGACCATACCGTGTGAAAACGTCTGAGGAATCCCTCTCCAAGCAGATGTGGGCCAAGTGGTTGTCAGAGAATTCCGGCTACTACATAGAATCTCGGATGTCAGATAAACCAAGGAGGTTGTTCTGTTTAAACCTTCTTGGATAAACCCGGTCGCAAGAAAAAGTTACGATCTTTCGTCCCAACATCTGCTTGAATATCAAAGGGTATATTTTCTTAGCTGCCTGTTTTTTTTCCTGTATGCTGTAAGCTTAGCCATGTCTCAAAAGACACACGGACCCAATCTATTCCATTTTATCATTTCATATTACAGAGTTGATGAAGATTACCATAGACGTAGGACTTCAAGTGTTTTCAAGTCATTGACGAAATAAAAGTAGTCCCGGGTTCGAGTCCTGACATGCCACTGATCTTGTGCCCTTGGGAAAAGCACTTTACGCGATTTTCGTTACTTCGCTTAGGTGAAAATGAGTATTGTATTGTCCCCTGTGTTGTGGCGGCATTGATATAAGTTGAAAAAATTTAAGTGTGCCACGTCACCACGTCTTGTGATTACATGTTAGAATATACAAAGAAATAAAAGTAAACGCAACCAAAACCGCAAGGCAAAGGTTAGTCTTCACATTGCAAAGTTCCTGTTCTATTCTTCTCCTTTACAAGTGCCCCCTGTCCTCTTCTTTCGCCCATCTTCCCGGTCTGTGTTTTGCCGCCGTTGTCAAACATGTGTTACAGCTTTGGTAAAACAAGGAAGCACGGGGTCATGCCCTCTGACCCCCCGTAAATGTCAGGGTCAAACAAGGAAAGATACTGCACAAAACTAGCTTCTCTAAAGACCTGTTAACTTACGCACAGTTACCTCAAACCGACTGACGCAGGGCTGACAAGAGATTCTTTTTTCGCGTTAAAGGTGGTCCTTCGCTGCTAAGACTCTGTTCTGTGAATTATAAGGTATAGAGACAGAGGGTCAGGGACTTGGGCAAACCTTGGGGTCAAGTGCTGCCAACATGTCAACTTTACTGTCACAGGCCCGCTGAAAACAACACTCCGACCCACTTTCTGTGCTCCTAGCTGGTTCAATTAACTTGAACAGAGTGATAGAAAGTCTACATCATAAAGTTTATTCATCTAGGAGGTACATGTATCTATTTTAACTTTCGTCATTACCTTAATTGCCTAAATTTTGTATTCACATAATTTTCATAAGTTGGAGTAACATTAGAAAAGATGACAACTGTTTCCTATTTTCTTGTTACATCATTCTGTGGTCACCAAAGATACCAAATATTTATTCTGACTTGTCGGGAACGTCCAGGGATTATAACAGAACTGTTCCTAACATCGCGTGCAGGGTGGGACTCTCGGAAGTGTTGTGCCCCTGACTCCGTGAAAACTGTGGCTTTCTAAACAACACGGGACACACACGATGTGAACACACTGTGGCTTCCGTTCTGGATCTTGCCGTACCTGGGCGAGATAGCGAATATTTGAAGGGGAAAACGTAGAGAAGTTTTGGTACGAGGGGCGAAGAGCGTTTCAATGACATATGGGATGGGTCTGGTAGATCTATATCTATATACGCAAGGTGTATTCTCGTTCCCACAAACAAACACAAAAAACACCCACAGATAGACAGATACACACACACACACAGAGAGAGAGCACAGAGATACACACACGCACACACACACACACGCACACACGCACACACACACAGACACACACACACACACACACACACACAACACACACGCACACACACACACACACACACACACACACACACACACACACACACACACACAGTACACTCACACATACAGGTACACACTTATTTTCATGAAAGACAGCATCTCCTTTGGCACAGAATAAATATTACTTGTTTCGAACGCCTATCCATAACAGCTGTATACACTAGGCTTAACATTCATGTTGCTATTGTAAACAAAGCTGCAAATATTATGGTATTCCTATAAAGAAACATGGTTGTGTTTAACGATGTGAAGTTCCTTTTGTGAGTTTGATCCGGTCTTGTTTCTGGATGTCACGGTTGTTAGTGTGGCCTGCAGTGCTGCCGGGCATGTGCGGTTTCTCTTTCAGTGCGGTAGTAATGAACGTGGCCGGCGTCGCTTCCCGCCCCAGGCAAATTGCGTACCCGGGTCGCACTGGACCATTTACCCTGACATTGCCAACATGGACCCACCGCCCGGCCCGGCCTCACCGCCGCTGACAACGGCACGAAACGATCCTCAGCAGCCGACACAGAACCCTGGCTAATGGCGGTTAAACTTGACAGTGACGCTGGGTGGGATAGCCTGGCATCGCAGCCGCTTTCCTGGCTAATGACAGCTAAACTTGGGGTCTAGCCTCGTACTGCAGCCGTTTTCCTGGCTAATGGCTGCTACACCTGGCAGCTGTGACGTGCTGGGTGTGATAGCCCCGTAACGCAGCCGCTGCATGTATAGACACGGTGTGAAGAAGTCTTTGGCCCTTAAGGCGTAGCACCAACACATATTAAAACCTGATCTTCAGCCGGGTAATTCTCAGTTGTAAGAGTTGACATTCGTGATGTTAATGCACTCCTGTAAGGATTCTAAGAAGCCCCAAGTGCACGAGAGTCTCTTTTGTAAACACTCTAAAGATGCCATGGTTTATTGATACACTTCGGCGTTGTGTTGAATAATATAGTGAAGGGAGGTGGATCAACGGTGCTTTCTAGATGCAGACAGGACGATATCTGTATTGTATAGGTGTTCGCACTCATGTGACTATGACGTCACATGAGTGCGGCCATGTTGAATGGTTACACCTTGAAGTTGCCAGGCAGGTTTTAGGTGCAGTTACAGTAACTATCACGCAACCAGAACATTAATACATTCATATTCATGAGGATGGCTTTTCCAAGGTTCAACCAGCGGTCGTGACGATACTTTCAAACACTCCATGCGGCTTTTTTTTGGATTAGCATATCTTCAGATGCCTCAAGAAGTAAATCACTGCGGTAACCACGAGCACATATACACACTACAGTACGAAGAGTACAGCACGTTCACATGAAGAAAAGTACTGGACTGATGCATAGAGGAGGCAAGAAACGTTTTACTTTTACAATCTGGGCGCTGTAACATGGCATATATATATATTTATGTATATTTATATATTCATATATGACGAGATAGAACAACATCACAGTTGACGGTCTAGTTGTTTTCCTTATTGACAATGAATATCATGTCCGAGCCGACTATATCTATTCTACTACGTTTTAAAATCTTAACTGCACAATAGCTAGTGGCGTTTATTAAATGAAATAATTCGATTTGAATAAATTAATTTCAGTAAAGGGAAGCGATGCGAAATTTTGAGACTCTGTGTTGAGAGGAACGTTATAGAGAAGTGCCATTCAATTGTAGAGAATAAAAATATACATCAGGTAACAGTTAGAAAGACTGCCCTTGTACCGCTTTGAAATAATAATTGACTTTCCACCGGGCAGCATACTTAGGGGTGTAGATACAGTACAGTAGTCATGCCGAATAGATTGAGATGTCATATAACGTCTAGAAGAATTTATACACCAGTATATGGAAAATTCACGCCAAACTTTCCTTAAAGAAGACAGAGAGGTAGCTTCTTACTCAGAACTTTCCTAGTAACGACCTTACCAATGAATGTGTCAGCTTCCACACACGACTCTATTTCCTCTCTTCTTAATTAAGCACAATCTACTAATTACGTCTCCTATATTCTCGAACAATCTTTCAGGCGGCCAGCTCGGCCTATATGTTTACAAAATGTACATTCCTTACTCTTCTTTACGTCGTTTTGCAGGTTCTGCAAACGGCATCGAGGCGATACTTCGAACACACATCCCGTAAACCTGACGGGTTTCAACAAACTACATATCCTCGAAATTTACCTTAGCTACACTGGCGAACATATAGAACACAACTTGCGGCATATTCATTACCAAGGTTAAAACATCTACATGAACAAATAAGTTAGGATATTCTTTTAGGCTTGGTTCCCAATATAAAAATATAAGCAGTAAGGTGCGATATGTTGTAGTTCTAACGTTATTTCGACAACAAATTTACAGACACAAACATTGCGAAGATGTGGTCTTCTTCAGAGATGTTTCCTTCAGCAGGTGTCTCTGTCACCAGTCCGACTTGGGGCTTGGCGGAAGCCTTTATTTTCCACAAATAAATCTCTGTTACTAAACAAAAGGTGAACATCGCAATCTTGCGAAGTGCCAGGTTATCTATTTACATACGTAATTTGCACAATATCGGGACCTGTAGCTTCGGTCTCGTACCAGTTCCTCCTGCACGCAATGGCAGCCATGTTGGACACACCCAGGTCACGTGACGACAGCCATATTGGAAACACCCGGATGTTACCAGCACCGAGTCTGCGCACTGAAGAAGGTTCATCACTTGCACGTGTGCACCTCCACTGTCCTTCGACACGTTTTGCACCTGACGTAGCAACACCAGTGGAACTTGCAACTACATCTCTCCACCACCTCCCGCGTGTGGGTGTTGTACCCTCTCCCGCAGCACAGCAGTTCGCAGCCATCGATGGCCTTGGAAGTCTTGTTGCACACCCTCCCGACCGTCCCCATCGACCCCACCTTGGTGTCCCGCACGCAAAAGTCTGGGGAGGCGTCCAAATACACCAGGTCCGAGCTCGAGTGCGGCTTGAAGTCAGAATTAAGCGGCACGAGCTCTCTCCGACTGCCGATCTTTTTCTGTTGCACCTCCGTGGCGCCGTCGAATTTCTCCTTGAGCCTCGCGCCGACTTCTCGGAAGGGCGGCATGGCTCGCCAGCACGTCTTCAGCTCGCAGCTTCCCGACACGCCGTGACACTTACACTCCGTCTTCATGTGGTCCACAAGGTTCTAGAGAAGGAGGAAAAACAATAGCGTCAACAACGAGAAGTTACATACATTCACCATTAATTCAATGTTCATTATGCACTATACATAACAGTTTTTCAAGGAAATAAAATGGCCAAAGTTGACTACATATGCATTCTTGATAAAAACACCGTAATGTTGAAACAAAGGACAAGGTGCCTTGTGTATTTGATAGTGTCTTGGCTATTGGAAAGTGTCTTAATTATGGGATAGTGTCTTGCCAGTTGGTTAAGACTTGGCCATCGAAAGGTCTGCTTGGAGATTACATGTATGTATCCGTAGCTCGACCCGCTATAGTAGTTCAATGAGTTACCCTCCGACGTTTTGATTGACGTAATGATGCGACGATACAATTTGGGACGGCTACAGATTTATCGACCCGTGCAGGGGTGAGTCGGCCATGCGGCTTCATTTTCGGTGCATATAAAGCTGTAATGACTGTCTGGCTCCGGCAGGCGTTAGTCCAATTGCCGCGGGTTCTCCGTGCTAATGAAGCCGGACGCCAGATTGTCGCACGGCCCGACAGAAAACGGCGTCTCCCCCTTCCTACATCCATCACCGGGGCTCACGTACTTACAAAATAATCACCCGCGACAAGGAGGCAATTAATTACTTCCTGTACGCGCTACTCCTGCGGTTCAGGCTCATAAAAGTTGATCTTTCAGACCTTCTGAGTCGGTATCGTTTTTCTTGTTCAGACTAACTAGAAACGAAATGAAGATAACTGCGCTATTTACATACAACGGTACGAATACGTTTGTGGCCCGTCTGAAGAGGCATCGACAATTTTATTATGGGGCACTTAAAAACAGACCGATGATCTGCTGTACCGTAGTACCCTGCCTTTTGGTGATATTCTTTGGTTATTGCACATTATGATATCTGATTTATACCGTATTGGCACTGATCTTCTTTGTAAACATGTCTTAAGTATGCCATGGACTATTTGGCAGTATATCCATGTCATATTACCCCAAAAATCAGAATAGTTCAACGATTATTTTCCTGTAAATATACCAGGTAATCGAGTACGGAAGGTTTCAGCACTTCGAAACTACTATTATTGTAAACGCTGGCGAACTGCATTGTCGTTTAACAACAGGGGGGAGGCTTTGGGCCATTGAGTAGGGAATGACAGTTTCATATGAAGTCGATGACCCGCCCCAGGGAATCCAGTGGGCAATTTTACCACAGGTGATGAATTTAGTCTATCCACCCTTAATTCATTAGGTGCCCGGTCTATTAAGCCAATATGGCATTAACAAGATGTAATTTCTCCTGTGGCCAGTACGTAGAGACGTGGCGCCGTCTTGCCAGGGTTTTAGACGATGTGACGCTGCTTCAGAAACTCTTAATTAAGCCTAGCATCGCGTTAACTCCCCCGGACATACTTTACATTAAGGACTTTGTCGGCAGGCAAATGGGCAACGTTTTCTGTGTGCAAGGCTCCTGCCTGTCTAGTTAACAAACAAGGCGTGTAAGGCAGTAGGTAGGTTAGCAAACCAAGAAATTGAGAACAGCAGACACCCACCACCAACTTAACCAATACCAATGCACTCTGGTATTAAAAAAATTGCTTAACGTTGTATACTGAAGCTTCTAGAAAGTAAAATACGTCTGTTTCTGTCAATATCAGCGATGCTTTCACTCATCAAAATCTACTTTGTGCGACGACTTTGACAGGTCGTCTAGTTCGAATCTGTGTGTTGTTGCTCATGTGAGAATTCGGCTCCTAGACATCTGATCCTCATCCTCCCTACATCCACCATGTACCAGAAATGCCAGCACAACAAACCCTTCTTCTGGTGACGTTCTACAGACTTCCCAACACGGCATTCAGCGACAATGTTACGCAGAACCAGAAGCAAATTTGTCAACGGTGAAGTCCGACCACCGCCTGCTTCCGGCGCACTGCTGCACAACTTTCACTTAGAAGAAGTCAATCAGTTCACAACATCTCAATCTTTTTCAAGCAGGCATCTGCAGGAAAAATCTAACTGTTTTCTGACTAGCTGACCCTCACAGGTTAGTTAGAGTGTGAAGCAGTAAGAAAATCTTTACGACTTCTTGTTGGAAGAAATGAACTTGGGACTAAGCCAGAAGTAGAGACGATCAGATTATAGCAGCATACTTTTCAGGTGTACACCGTGCCATTGCAGCGTTTAACTTACAATGTTGTCATGTGAGTCGTGTAATACTTTCATGTTTGTTACTGGTATGTTGCTGTCAGAAGCAATGATGGTCGATCAGAGTGGCTTACTACCCAGGAACAACGCTACCATATTACTGTGAAAATAAACAGGCTTGTCCATCCTCGGGGCAGCAACCCGATCTGAGGTGGGACCTTCACAGCCGCCACCAGAACCAGCTCCTAACGCGGAGATCCTGTTAACCACAGGAAATTAAACAAAGGCTAATCCCCGCGTGCTAACCCTGATCACCTGGGACATTAGTACTGCAGGTCGAACAATGTAACGTCTACATTATGTTGAAAGTAAAAAAGCAACAAGTAAAAAGATATCAAAACCGGACGTTCCGCTGCAGTACCTTAGGAAGTCGCTAGAGGACCAAAAGTCTGATAATTGTGAGGTTTCAAAAGTCAAGACATATACCCACATACCAAATATCAGACTATATAAGCCTTCTAGAGTTATCGTGATTACAAACATGACAAGTTGATTGGATGCCATGTAAATGAGTGAGGCGTATATGCATGGGTAATAGACAGCAGACGCCCTTTTGGCCTTGGGGAAATTAGGACCAAATGGAAGCTAGCTCGTGCCATTGTATCGGATTAACAGGTGCAATTAAATCACTTGTAACTTTCTTTTCAGCGCAGATGACTAATATGTTATCGTACCTTTTTTGAAATGCCCTACTGTTGCACATGACTACAAGAGCCTCGGATCTTCAACACCATGTGTATAAAGCATAACATCAAAGGACATGACTTAAATCCATGACCAATGCTCACCATACCATGACTTAACAGAGCTCTAACTACGATGTATCTTGGATAAGTTAGCATTAAAGATCACATATAAGGGATCTGGGTATCTACGAATTATCGAATCTATCCTTTCTTACAACTAAAAAGCCTCAACGACTCTCCAAGCAGTTGCTTCACTCATAATGGACATCGGGATATCTTATTTGTCTATTCTTTTCTCCTTTCCCGGTCTAAAAATACGCAATGCTCCTGGAATCTACTTAGTATTAGGAGTTTGTTGTCGAAGATTTAGGTAAATTAACTTGTAGTTTGTCAACTCGGATACACTTGTAGTAAAACGATGCAACTACTTTCTTGGAACTCTACTCGGTGTAAGTACTCACTCAGGCTATCAGTGCACGAAGACCATCACGGTCTCTTCAACTGTTTGGCAAACAGCGGGTTGAAGTGTTTGAGACACTCAAGACTCGCGAGGCTCTGGCGGTGTGATCTCAAGGAGAAGTGTGACGTCTTGGAGTGGCGCTTCATTAGAAGATGTCAAACACGGTAAGTGGTCAAACACTGCTGTCTGTGCTACCAGTGGGTTAGTCTGCTTATTTTTACCGTCTTTTTAGGCATTTTTATCAGACTTTTTCTTTTGTATTTGGTATCTTTTTTATCGCCAGCCAAATGGTAACTGCCTGGTAATTGACAAGTAAAAACATTAAACAATATAATGTCTCTGACGTCTGTGTTATTGTTAAATTTGATTGTTTTTGTTCTATTTCTGCTTAGTTATAAATTTTCTCTGTAATGTATGACAGACAGTTGTGGAGAGCTAACTTTGTATGCTCCACCTCTACTACAGAGGATGAATGATGATGATGATGATGATAAATATGAAGTCTACTTTTAATATGCACCGGATAATGTAGGTTTTATAGTGTCTCTGTAAGTCCCATAATGTATATGTACGGCGTTATTCGCGCTAAACAGACCCGCGGGTCCCTTTCCCAATAAAACTTGAAATGTTACCTGACCAATTTGAAACTGTCTTGCAGCCATCAAAAAATCTGTTTGGAGATAACAAGTGGGTAGCATCAGTACTCCTATCGCCTGGTGCTCTCTAACGACCTCTAGATAGAAGCCCTTAAAGTGAAGGTAAGCAATGACCACTGTGTACTAAACAAGCCCAAACGAAAGGTCTATGTATGGGGGATTAACACAGACATTCTTACAGTCTGGCCACACTTGGCAGAGCCTCAAGACAAGTAGTAACAGGCATGTGATTCAGTCTGACTGCTAAAATGGGCATGGGTCGTCCGATTCTGCTGTCAATCACGGCTGAACCTGAGGTATACATGTCGGCCAATCAGCGGCTCCGCTCTGCCGCGGGAAACCGAATCGCATTACCTAACTAGCAACCTCGCTGCAGGCAACTCAGAGGGTGACAGGGCAATATTGTATATTACAGGCATTTTGTCAGCCACCTTCCCTAGCAGCGCTCTGTGTATCGAGGTTAAGCTATGGAGAGCGTTTGTGGTGAACTGTAGGCTAAACATAGGTAACGGCGGCTGTGCAGAAAGCTTCTTTTATAATAGACGACCCACTGCCATGCCTGCTGTGCGAGGCTAACAAACCACGGAATGTTACTCTGCTACGCATAGTGCTCTCGGCATACCATCACTAGGACATGAAAGTGTTGTGTTTCAAGTGCACTTAAAATGCAAATTGGCAGGGAATGCCAGACCTTCCACCGGCCGGGGCGCCACAAGAGGCCCGACGTACCAGCCATATCATACACGCTACAACCACTTATCTACTCTGTTAGATAAATAACGAACACGGGACAATTATGCAGCTTAGTCTTAATCCACTCACGCTCCAAAAATAAATAGAGGCGGGGGAAGGCATCTAAGAAAAGGGACGCCAAAACAAACATATCGTATGTCATAGCACAGCAATTATAATACACACAGCGTAAGAATAGAGCTAGAATTGGTTACTGTATATGGTAATTGGATGCCTAAAACATAGGTTGTTAGCATTTACA